ACCCTGTTGACGCACTTCTTCCAATGTTTTGGGTTCTTTATTATAGACCCATTGTCTGACGGAAGGGCACAGACCATTCACAGCTATGGCAACTAAGATGTCAACTGGTATGGATTTACTAGAGGTTGACTGCTGTAACCTACTGATGTAATCTGATACTGATTCAGCAGGTTGCTGATTGATCGCCAATACTGACAGATCAAATTGTCCTGATGGTTGAAATCTAGTAATGAAAGCTTGTTTCAAGCTATTCCAGTCTGACTTGATATCGTCACTCAAGGCGTGATGCCACTGTTTGGCTGGTCCTTCTAAAAGGAAGTTCAACATTAAACACGCTCTGTCTTGATCAGTGCCTTGGAGTTTAACCCATGTTTCTAGATCTGACCACCAGTTATTTGCATCCTGCTTACCTGAATATTTAGGAAGCTGAATATGTGACATGGCCATGCTTGTGGTTGAAGCCGTGGAGGAAATACTTTGAGTAGCTGCTGTTGAGGATGTTGTTGGTGACGTTGATAAGGCTGTTGATACTGACGTAGATGTTGACGTTGACGTTGGTACCGTTGATGTTGACGTTATGTATGTTGCTGGTGATGTTGGTATTGTAGAGGTTGGCGTCTCTGATGTAGAGCTGTTGTTGATGATGACTCTGCCTGGTAACTCAGGGTTACAACGAGTCAAGACTGAAAGACTGCAGCCTCATCCTGTGTTCTGTGTTCTGCCTTTCATCAGCACCGGAAACTTTGATCTCCATCAACTGACGTAGCTTGTGTTTCGGGCCGTTTTGCCTTGTATGGGCGTGGTCCCGTTTGCTACGTCACAATGGCCAAGATAGTGGGGGAATTAACTTGGTAGAGCTGATTACTCGGCTGTCACCTTTAAAACAGAGAGAAGGCTGCTGAGTCCCTTGAAGTCTTTATTCGTGGCAGAGTGGAATTTAATATATAGAGAGATATTTAAACAATATTACATTACAAGATAGATACATTCAATGACTTGTTACATTAAATATATAATTGACAACCATACATGAATTGATAGCGACTGGTTTAAACTTTCTTAACAGGACTGTTCTAATAAATAAGGTACAAAAACGAATTGTGAATAATAAGCGACTGGGGGGTATTTCATGTTATACTAGCTACAACATTTCATACAGGAACTGTTAACATTTACATTTACGGCATTCTAGCGTTACTCGTGTATTTAACATATTGTATAATTTCAATGCCGTAAATGCTTAACCAAATGATAGACTTAGCATGGCCAATATTCGTATGAGACGGTATTTACGTGAGATTACCCGTGGGTATTTACCACAATGTACTCTTTCTCATACTATGTATTGTACGGTTTTATCTATCACTTGGCATATCAACAGTTAATGTACAAGTGAACTAATCTACTGACATCCATATAAACACACACATACAATTTAACATTCAAGTTGCTTTGCGGTATAACGAATGACATATAACTTATTCTTAAATATTACAAACCATGGTAAATATAAAGTTGCTTGCACATGATATAATATAAGTTAAAGGCAAGGAGAATTGAACAAGAAAATAATGTTATCTTACCTTTAAAACAGAGAGAAGGCTGCTGAGTCCCTTGAAGTCTTTATTCGTGGCAGAGTGAAGTGTCTGCCACTGGACTCCGTATATATAGGGACTCAGGCCTTCTATAGAATGCGTTAGTTACCTAATATTGAAACTATGACATAAATCTGCTACATGCGTGGCGTATTAATTACACTTATTTGACAGTTACAGAGCACACTGACCGCGTAATATCCTTTGTATTCCACCTATCTGATACTAAAATGACGACGCGTCCGGCCATACACAGCATGTTATAGCCTGGGGCATAACCCTAGCCTGGCCACCTGGCTGAGTTACATAATCCAGAGTCACTGGTTTGTGACGGTCAGTTACGTGCATGGCAGCTGACTAACATTATCTACAGAAATATATTTAGGTATAGCTAGTTGTAAGATAACATATTGAGAGAAATACAAAACATAATATTGAAATATGACCACTATAATTATGGGTTAATTATAGTGATTTTAGGACTATGACACTATCAAGGACGGCAGTAAGAATCCTGAATGTGTGACTGAGTCCTCATGGAAGTCATTTTCCATCGTTTCTGGTACAACAATATTTCTGATTGGATAATAACTGAAGTTCATCGCACTGATAAAAATATGGAACCAGTTGTGATTGGATTTCAAACGAACCAAAGCTCAACTTGTACGAAACTTCTCGCATGCATTTTAAAGCGATCATCCACGACAAGAATAATCTGAGGCGCACATAAAATCTCTTAAATTGACCAGACGCTGTGTTGTGGTATAATCAATAATCCCGCTCGAAGTCGTGTCAACTTTTGTCTTTCTCCAATTGACTTCCACCCTTTTCACACTACATCGATCTTATCATTTTCAGGTGCATTTGTTTTTTCTATTTGATTCAAAAGTGGCGCCAAATATTTTTTCTTCGATTACTTCAGTTCCTTTAATACTTTTGGGTCTTCGTTCTCGCTACCACTTGCCAGTATCGTGGCGAGATCTTTGTTCTCGCTACCACTTGCCAGTATCATGGCGAGATCTTTGTTCTCGCTACCACTTGCCAGTATCATGGCGAGATCTACGTTCTCGCTACCACTTGCCAGTATCATGGCGAGATCTTTGTTCTCGCTACCGCTTGCCAGTATCATGGCGAGATCTTCGTTCTCGCTTCCGCTTGCCAGTATCGTGGCGAGATCTTCGTTCTTGCTACCGCTTGCCAGTATCGTGGCGAGATCTTTGTTCTCGCTACCGCTTGCCAGTATCGTGGCGAGATCTTCGTTCTCGCTACCGCTTGCCAGTATCGTGGCGAGATCTTCGTTCTCGCTACCGCTTGCCAGTATCGTGGCGAGATCTTCGTTCTCGCTACCACTTGCCAGTATCATGGCGAGATCTTTGTTCTCGCTACCGCTAAGCAGAAATCGGTAGCGAGAACTAAGGTTGGTATACACACTGCAAAAACATCTACGAGCAATTATGTTGCACGCGCGCGCGCACGCACGCACGCACGCACACGCACACACGTACGAAAAGAAAATAGAAAGAAAGTCATTGAAAAGATGACAGATTATCACACTGAAGTTTTCCAAGTATGTCTTGCAACTTCCGTGTTGATCTATGATCTCTATCACTACACGTCTTTAGTTGCTGTTCTAATTATACTGATACTGTGTTAAGTGAATGAGTTAGTGAGCATGGTTTTACGCCGATTTTAGCTATATTCCAGCAATATCTCGGCGGAGGTCTAATACAATTACAAATCCTGGTAAAGTACAATACTTGTTTCGATTACTATTTTCGGTGGTGATATCTGGTCTGGTGATACCGATTTCTGCAACAGCTTGTCTTTTAAGGCCACGTGATAGCTAATAATGCTGACTGTGCATTTATCATAAAATGGTACTTACAGCCACAAACCTATTGTGATGGTTTGGTTCCAAAGTACACAATAACATTTTCAGTTCATGGTGCGTTCACGTAGGTTCAATCTACATCTAACTGCGGGTACCGTGTTCCCTGCGATCATCGTTCAACGAACATTGCTTGTTTATGTCACTCCTGTGTGGACCGCCTCCGTGGTCTAGTGGTAGAGCGTCCGCCCGGAGAGCGGAAGGTCCGGGGTTCGATGCCCGGCCGCGTCATACCAAAAGACGTTAAAAGATGGTACTTGTTGTTACCCTGTCTGGCGCACGGCATTAAGGGGCTAAAACAAGGGCTGTTCGGCTCGGAGTCAGTATACTGTGTCTGAGTTGGGTATTCATGTTAAACTGCGGCATGATATCTCAGTGGGCTATCACTATAAATCGGCATCTGTCCGGACTAGTACAAGCAGCCACACACACACACACACACACACACACACACACACAAACGTGCATGCACGTCGCTATATAAGTGCAATATTCTTGGACGCGACGTTAAACCCAGTTTCACCTCACCTCACCTCACCTCACCTCACCTCACCTCACCTCACTACTGTGTGCTGCTCGTGGTGTTAATCACTGGATTGTCTGGTCCAGACTCGAATATTTAGAGACCGCCGTCATATAACTGGAATATTGCTGAGTGCGGCGTTAAACAACAAACAAACAAACAAACAAAAAACTCCTGTGTGCTAAGGATGGTCCATTTACAAAACTCTACCAGTGTGCGCTGTTGGATTTACAGCCTCTTCTGCCGCTCTGATTTGCTATAAATCATAAAATATATTCAAAATCTATATACCAATCTCTTCCTTAATCACTTACCTCCAAATTAGTATTGTTTAAGTGATTCCAAATCGAAAACCAATCGCAGTTCCACCTCGATCATATTATTTCCAGCTGCAATTTAAGTATCTATATATTTTCTGTGGTGTTTTCTGTATATATAAAATATATTGCGAGTAACGTATATTCTCCTAAATCTTCACCACTCATGTAGTTTTCATACAGACCCTGAAACCAGAGACCATATAATAGATCTGTTATATGGTCTCTGTTGAAACATATATATCCAGTACAGTCTATGTATCACAAGTCTAGATTACTTCAGGTTTTAGGGGGAAATTTTCTTGGCTCCTTATTATTATATTTTATTAAATAATTCAATTTATAAGTTTTGTCTTCTTTGAATATGTTCATTTCAGTTACTAACTTTTAGTCTACCACTCATGTTAATGGCGACTTGACTCAAGTCAAGTTTGAATTGTGATGTAAGGGAAATAACTCTCTGTACATCTTTTCGAAATGAGGTAGAAACATCGTATTTTCTCTATGAGCTCTTTGCAGAGTTTTGTAGGCGTCGGTTAAGGGTGCAACAATAACAAAAGATATACGAGTAGTGTTTAGAGTTGTAGTGTATGAATTAAGCAAATCACATTTCTACTCGTGTAATCCTTCTGGCATATTCTTTGTCAGGATTAATTTCCCCTTGTTGAACAGGTAATTGTGAAATCTGTAACTGTTTTGTAATTGTTATAATCTTTCACACAAACCAAAAGTCTGGCGATCAATTTCAGAACGCTACAAGAAAGAAATCGAACTGCGACCGTGAGTGTTGTGGCGGTGGTATTTTCAATTTTCACTTTCACCATAGTATATGGCATATATTTATCTTTCTTTAGATATTCTTCTTGAGAAGGTATTCACAGGTATCACATATTTGCGATTTAGAGGACACCAGAAACACAAGCAACAGTATACGCAACTGATAATACATGGAACGGCTACGGTGATTTAAAAAATTCATAACCAACGTTTTGTTTCGGTCATTATTGTGTTGTGAGACCGTTTTATCATTGTTTATGTCTTCAGAGAAGAATAAACAAAACAACATTTGTCAGTGAAAATGATAGACGTATAGATCTTGATTACTGAAAACGTTATTTACTATTTATATTAACAGTACACAACGTGTTAATTATGATGTGTTGCATATTTTGTATCAGTATCTGAATTGTTCGACTTCATTTGAGGAAGTCTGAGTTTGAATGTAATTGTTCCATTAGACAGCAATTTTTATATATATTCAAACTTCTACTGCGAGCAAAACCAAACACATGATGAAAAAAACACTTATATTATACACTTTGGCTTTGGACTAGTGAACTGTATTACAGTCTGTTGGAAATTATGTTGGTTTGAAGTTTGATATTTCGGTAATTATGCTTTATACTGGACACTGCCGCCAATTTGAAAGGGGATGGGCAAGAGCTGCTTTCTTTGTTTTCAAATGCCATTTTTGCCGCCCCCCTCCCTGGTAAATGGTTTCATAATGCTACCATCACACCAAAGTAGTTCTATCCCGTTCTACCCCGTTCTAAACAAAATACTAGAACAGGCTGTGATCACGGTAGAACGCGTAGTTTGGCATAAAATACGATGCTAGTTTGTTCATAAGCTGTCCTCAATACGTATGTCTCGTTCTTAGCCAGTCTGCAGTCTGTTTGTATCCAGTTCAGATCATGTAAAAGTGCCCGTTCACCTCATCCCGACAATGTTTCGAAGCAGTTCGAGCACGTCCGCAGCCGTTCTGAACCTGTTCTTAACCAGTTCAACCTCGTTCACAATACGTCCAAGCCAGTTCTAAATAATCATTAACCCGACCAACTCGTTCGCAGTATGTCCTCATCTCGTCCCAAGTGCGTGTGTATTCGCGTCCTGGCCCGACTCCTATGGATACCGAGCGCGTTGTAGCCAGTCTTCATTCAAGTTCAGGGCTCCGAGCTGTACACATCATGCCTCAAAAGAGAAGTCAACCTGGCATGGACGGGATAAAATTTTGAGCAGACTCAAAGTTCTAGACCTCGCCGTCCGAGCCCGTCCATGAAGTTCGTAAAAAGACTGTCAATAGTTGCTACTACGTCCACTACGTTCATACACAGTTGGAGCCCGTTTCGACAACATTTTCACAAACATATTGAGAACTAGTTTGGTGTGATGGGGGTATAAGTAAATGTAACTTTTAATTACCAAAGTAAATATGAAATACAACATGTTTGTTGAATTGTGAGCCCCAATGGATGCCACTGATGAGGATGTTGCACGCCATTCGTGAACTTGTTTTCAAGTATCTGTTTATGTAAAATGTTTATGGATTGCTTTGATGTTCAGTTTTGAAGTTAATGATATTGAAGCATACAAGTGCAGGCAGAGTCATTTTTTTCTGCTGATTTTGAGCTTTATCGTTTGTCATACAAATTATCAATTATTGACGCTGTCAAGTGAGGCTTTATTTATAGCATCAAACAAACATGGTGATAGGTGTCCGGAAAAGGTGTATTTACAATGAGATTTTGTGTCTTGAAGCAGTCTTGTCACGACGTACAAGTTGACGGTACACATCCTTTGCAAACCCTACAGTCGACCGAAATCTGCACATTGAATTCCATGTTGTTTACATGATTTTGATTGGACTATGCATAGACTTAAGTATTCCAACCAAAATATAACTCCATAATTGCAGCCTAGTTCGGCAATGCTGGAAACTGGACTTTTACAGTCAGTTAACTCCCTTACCTCGGGAAGATGGGTTAGAATAGGGTTGTCTGGTCCAGACTTGATTATTTACAGACCAATGTCATATTTTACTGTAATATTGCTGAGTACGGCATTTAACAACAAACAGAACAAACATCGGACAGTTGTGTTTTAGGATTCCTTTAACGCTATGTTTTGAGTCAAACTATCACCAAAATGAAGCTGTGCAGTTGAGAACAGTGGACTGTAGTGTTTTACAATTCATTAATATGTCCTAATGATATTTTCACGTGTTGTAAGGATGTCATTGATTGCGTGTTGATGCGAAATTTTAGTATTGATTAGGGATGTCACGATTCACCGTTTGTACCGTGCATCGGTAGATAATTCTCACAATACGATACGAGATACATGTAAATTTATATCGATATAAAATTTTATTGAAATCGGTATCCATTTGTTTGTGTATAGATTGATTTTTCTTTTCGAATCGAAATGTCATATCTTCTGAATTTGACATACGAAAACTTGTTAGTGTCTGACACTTGTTTGAATAAACAGAATCAACATTTTCTAAGTATACTGATAGTGATTAGAACACATTATTGTGAATGGAATATGTAATTAAAAAGTTTGCGTCTAAATTTACAGGTAAAAGGTCGGTATTGCTGTATCGAGAGACATACCGTATCTTGAGCTCAAAATCGAGATACGTATTGTATCGTGAGGTACCTGTATCGTGATACCCCTAGCATGCCTAGTATTGATACAACAACTCAAAAGTTTCACAGTATATGGATTAATGATAAAATTAGCTATTCTGTATGTATATTGATTTGAAATGCTTGTACTTATCAATGCTATAAATGTTCCAAATTGAATTTTCTGTCTTCTCAAAATTAATCTTGATAAATATAAACATTCTTGTGGCAAAGAATTGTTAATTTAGTTTTGATCATGTTGATACAGCAACAACATTATAAAATTATGGATACATCAATATCGCTATATACAATAACATCCCTGTGCTGTGAGCATGTGTCAAAATGCACCAGTACAGATGGTACAATGGTACACACAATACACAGGTGAATTGTTACATATGGAGGTCATCTAATTTGGCAATGTGGACTGCAGACTTTGTGAGTGGTCAAACTCAGTAGTATGCATTGTTCATACCTGACAGCACAAACCGTACCAGCTCTTGGATTATTATCCCCCTCCACGAAGTGGAAGGGGGATTCAGGAATGGGTGCTGTCCATCTGTCATGTTTTGTTTCCTGAGCAGTACTAAAAAAACATGAGGTATATCTTACCAAAACTTGGCACATAGATAGGTGTGGTGGTGAACTGGTGCCTTTTCATTGTTTGGGATTTTAAAAAAATAATATTTTTCAAGTTCCCATTGCAATGATTTTGACTTGGTCAGAAAATGGTGGTAGTGCTCGTTTCCGGAGGGCTAATGCTTACACAACCTGACATGTCATATTGGCGAGGTGTATGGGTGTTTCATGCTTGTTCATGTAACTGTTGCAGGCATAATTCAGAATGGCTGACTCGTCAGAAAATCAGGAGAATGCAGGTTCAGAAAATACAGGAAACACAGGCACTGCTGGAGGAGAAGCCCCACGACAGGGAAACCAGGTGTTGGTGGGTATCAGGGTGTCAGGGTTTACCTAAACTTACAAAAGTGGGGGTTCAGGGGATCTCCAATAATGATTTTTGTGGGTCCTTACAGGCAATATGAGGGTCCTGTAAAGTAATGTAAAAGTGTAGTGTACTGTAGGTTTAGATAATTAATTTGGAGCCTTAAAGTAATGATCATGTAGACAGTGGTCTTAGTTGATGGATGAAATAACAGACACCCATAACTGCTCTTGATGAACTTTTCTTCCCTATGCCTCCGGGGGTCACGGGGGGCCCAGTCGTCTAAGCAGTGCTGAGGCGCCGCGATTCGCTGTGCAGAGTTGCATCCCTTGGGCACGCCAGAAATCTATGATTGTGGGTTTGAATCCCAGTTCACCCCGATTATGTTTCTAGGTTTGTCAGCACCATACCCATGCTCGTCGGTTTCACCGAAGTGGTAAACGTCTGAGACCTACATCACTTCGGGCTTTCCTCCCACATTAAGCTGACACGCCGCGATATAACTGGATTTGTGTTAAAGCGGCATAAAACCCAACTCACTCACTTACTATGCCTCCCAAGAAGGGAAAGTGCCATGGGAAGAAGACCCAGCCATAGCCAGAATCTAATGTCGGCGAGATTTTAGCTGACATTCACCTGGTACCGGCTACGCAGAATGACCCAGTCGGGGACACACCAACCGAACAACCGGATGAAGGTGAGGCTGAAATGGTGGCCAAGAGGAACAAGATGTCAGATCTGGAGCCAGCATTAGAGCAGGCTGTCTGCAAATGGTTTGCCACCAATTGTTAGGTCATGCAACCAGTCGGAACAGGTCGTACGACAGGTGGTACCACCAATCTTCAGGTGGCATGATCAGTAGCACGACCAACCTTACAACTTCTTGACCCGCGATAATGCACGACTGGTGGAGCTTCCATGCGCGACTGGGGGATTATGAATCGCAGGTCAGAAGTTTTGAACATGACCATCGACCTTGCTGCGACCTCCACGACCCCTGCGATCAGTCCTGCACCTTTCATAAGATTTGCCGGCGATTGCAACATTTTTCCGTCGCAGCTAGGTCGTAACCTGGTTGCAAGCCAAGTGTGACTAGGGCTTTACAGACCGCCGTCATATAGCTGGAATATTGCTGAGTGCGGCGTTAAACAGCAAAGAACAAACATGAAAAACTAGTTCATGCATAGTGGATTTCTAGTACACTTGTCCCATTATTCTGTAAGATGTATGGACATATTTTCGGACTTAAATAACAAACAAGATATATTAAAGATTTAGTCAGTGATTCTGATCCCCAAAGGTAAAATTTAGAATTTAGACCTGATATATCTCAAACATGAGTCAAAAGTTTTTTGAGATATATAAGATAGCTACATGATAAATCTCAAAGAACAATGAAGAATGAAGTGTGGTTCACTTAACAATAAAACATTGTTCTATTATCATGATTATGACGTCATTTTTGGAGATTTGAATATGCGCTTGCAACTTGATGACATCATATATTGGACGACGTTAGTTTTGAGTTGTTCCCCATAGATGTAGCTGGGCAACGTAGATAAACGCAATGGCCAAATGATCGCATCCAAAAGTGGGAGAGATATGACAATTGGTATTAGGAGAAAAGGTATTGGTGATCGATGTTAGGATTGTGAGAATTATGCGGGACATTATTAAAATTTGGGTAAATATTTTTAAAGCTTGTACATATTATCAACATCCTTAAAGGGACTGTACATAATGTTGATATCTCATATAAGAAATAAACGACTCGTGGTTGTTGTTTATCGTACAATAAAACACTGCAGGGAGGATAAACCATGAGGAACTGTGCAATGTTGATGTATGTTGATGTAGCCATGTTATCAGGTTGATTGGATTGGTTTATCGTATGAATAACTCTAGCCTTTATATGGTAAAGTTCAGTATTATCTGATCTGCTTCAGGCCCACATGATGGGGAACAAGGTGGAGGCTGCTCTTTGGTTCACCAGGATCTTCACAGTCGTCTGCACCATCCTCTACATGCTGCCGTTCTTTGGGTAGGTCCAAGTTGTTCCAGGTCAAGACTGGCTCCCAGTAGTCCATGATTCAAAGTTTCAAGGCTTCATGGTCAGAATAAGTCTCTAGTACCCCATGTCTGTCCATGGGGACAGGATGGGCCCCAAGTGCTCTATGAGGGTCCATTGTTGGGAACCCTTTCCATGATACATCCCCAGTGCCTCACAAAGGTGTTGTGAATCCTTTCCCAAGATAGGTCCCCAGTGTTCCACAAAGGTCCAGTATTGGGAATCCTTTCCATAACAGATCCCCTGTGTCCACGATGGTCAACTGTGGGGAATCCTTTCCAGGATAGGTCCCCACTGCTCCAAGATGGTCCGGGGCGGTCAGGTAGCCTAGTGGTTAAAGTGTTTGCTCGCACGCTGAAGACCCGGGTTCAATTCTCGACATGGGTACGATGTGTGGAGCCCATTTCTGGTGTCCCCCGGCGTGATATTTCTAAAAGCAGCATAAAACCATACTCAATCACTCACTCCAAGATGGTCCAGTGTGGGGACAACAGAGCTCAAGATAAGATGTGTAATTGTGGTAAATGCGCAAAATATGACATTGTTATCCAATTAATTTTTATTTGTTTCCGTACACATACACGTAAAAAAACAGAAGTCAATCACTGCATGTAAATTGGAAACTGGAATAGTTATGAAAATCTCAATTATCTCCCCTTGCAGTGGCAACCCATACAGTTTTTATCAGAGGGCTCTCATCAGCAGCGCGGCATCCAGTGCACTTCGGCTCCACCAGCGTATTCCAACAGTCCAGTTCTCCCGAGAGTTCCTGGGACGGTTGTTCATGGAAGACAGCTGCCACTACCTCCTCTTCTCCATCATCTTCATCAATAGTTTCCCCATCACCAGTATCCTCCACAACACCAGATTCAGTCCACAGTCCAACTTTCATTATTTTGTTTCTCACACTACTGACTAAGACTGTATTTCCAAGTCAAGTGAGATTATGCCCCTTGTCCAGTTGTCCATCTGTGTAAGCAGATTCCAACTACATCATGAGCATTCGTTTTATTAATCACTATCAAATAGTGACCCGTGAGGATCCGGGTTAGAATAGGTCTTCAGCAACCCATGTCTGCCGTAAAAGGCGACTATTCTTGTCTTAAAAGGCGACTAACGGGATAGGGTGGTCAGGCTCACTGACTTGGTTGATGCATGTCATCGATCCCAATTGCGTGGATCGATGCTCATGATGTCAATCACTGGATTGTCTGGTCAAGAATCGATTATTTACAGACCGCCGTCATATAGCTGGAATATTGCTGAGTGCGGCGTAAAACAACAAAAAAACAAACAAAATGTAAGTGTTTACATTTTTTACATGTCCTCTAAAAGTTCAGGGCATATGTAGCTGAAACTTTGTATGAATGATCCAAGCTATGGTGTCTGCCCACAGAATTCCAGTCTGAATTTAAGCATGGCTGCCACAGCAGCCATATTGAAAAATGACATTTTTAACATGGCAGCCATGTTGATAATCAGATCAGGAATAGCTGGTACCATGAGAACAGTGTTAAAGTTTTGTAAGCCATGTGGATTCAGAGATGTCGGTTAAAGATTTACAGAAAAACAGGTAGGCGACGGACAAAGCGCCACTACGTAACCTCACTTGACTTTCTGTCAGGTTAGCTAAAAAGGGGATAGTGAACGTCAAAAGACATAGCCTGATGAAAAATGAAAACATGCAGAAAGAATATATTATATGTTTTACAGCATACCACATACTCACTGTACATCAAATTTCCTAACAATATTATGCAGAAAGTTGAGTATATGGGCAAAAATGACATTTTGTCCATTGCTCAGTCGGGTTTTGGCGAAAAAAATTAATGTTTATGGACATGGTTAAACAAATGTTACCGTAAATTTTCTGAAATACTCTCACTGAGAGAAATCCTGTCATGGACAGACATGACATCATTCTGGCATGCTGTGGTTTCATCCTGGAATGTGATGACAGCATGTTTACAATTGATGTGACATACTTCTGTAATGAACCAGAACAATGAAACAAGCCAACTACATCAAGTTGTTCAGATAAATATTGAACAAACTGAAAATTTAATTACCATTTTATCCAAATGTAACATTTTATATTGTGATTGAGAAAAATTGATACTTATATAGAAAAGTACATACAAAGTCGGCAAAAATATCCAGGATCCAGTCCTATTGCATCATACACTCCTATGCATTTTACACTGAGTGATCAGGCAGTGTGTCATGAACGCTGAATAATTTGGAGCAATCAGTTGAAGGTGTAGACCCTGTTTTGTCTGGGTGAGACCCTAATATATACTGGTTGCCATGATACGTGATAAATATTGCTGACTGCTGTGTAAACAGCATATTCCGTACTTACCGATTCCAACAGTTATTATTTCCTGACCATGTACTAGTGGCATTATGTCCAGTGTTCCTGTTTGCTCTGCTGCATGCGTGTTCCTACACCAAGACAATCCTCAATGTAAGTGGACTCATCTTTGACTGATTCTGCTGTTGTCATCGTTATCATCATCATCATCATCATCGTCATCGTCATCATTACCCAGAGATAGTAATGACAGCTGAATTTATCTAGGATTCCAAACTAAGTGCCCTTGTCAGTCAATCTTTTTTTGAAAACATTTTCCTCAGTGCAGAGATGTTTAAAAAATTGCATTCAACCCAACAATGTAAATCTAAGGCCTCTTTTACTTAAGAAAACGTGTGTACAGCTGATTGCTGTTTCCAGCTTAGTTTACGAGAAAATACGCAAGGTAATCTTAATCCCTAAATATAAAACAATGCCTAGCAGAACAATAAATACTATTTGAACGGTAAATAAACATGTCTGGTGATTTTCTATCTCAAATTTCGAATTTGTACTGACGAAGTTTCTCAGCACCCGTTCGTTTGCCGGACTTCGCTGAAAGGGTACGGTGTAAAAAATTTCTGCGCATAATATTCAAATTTCTTTTTTTCCAAAATATTGAACCCGCTAGAGGGGGGTGCCCATTATACATGGGTGCGCACTATACTCAAGAAAATACGGTATTGGTCAGTGAAACACAAGTCACCTTTGCAAAGCCATAACATTAATCATAACTGTATTGTATCAACAGGAAATTCTTCCAATTTGGGAATTTTTACTGACCTTTGCTGAAGACTTTGGCTAAATATCAGCCTCTGAGTAGGCCTATATGAATCCTTGAATAATGCCAACAACAGCACAAACACATTATTGACTTACCTTACTAGTTTCTAGGAAATCTGTCGGTCTTGAAACCAGTGTTAGAAATATTTCCAAAACATGACCTCGGGCAGGTGACCCATAAATGCTGCCTGCACATCTTCAACATTACCTGCCCACATTCAGATATTATGAATATTGAAAAATCATGAAAAATGAGAGACAAATTGCATCTTGATTCATTTGAAATAATGCAAGCAATTACATGAGAATCTACGATGTAACTGAATAGGTAAGTAGTCTTAAAATTATCTGCCAGACAGTCGCGCAGGTGGAGGAAAGTTTCATGCAGCCCAACAGAAAAGTGAGGGGCCAGAATTCACAAATGTAGTTCATGTGGACCCGGATTGCTCGCAAATAAAGATCAGTAGTTTTTTCTCAGGAAGAATTTGGACACAGTCCCTGGCAGCCTGAAGTACTGTGCTCAAGGGAGTGGTTTTGTAAATATATATAAGCATCAAAACTTGTTCCATAATCAGTAGGAGTCTCTGCTTAAAGCAGAGTCCATAGTAGGATCCTGACTGTTCCATAAGCATGATATATTGCTTAAAATATGTCTTCTTGCCAAGATACTGTTTCAACTTTGTATTTGGCTTTACTTAAGAAATTTAACAATGAGTGGGAGTTGTTTATCTTACAATAAATGATGACTCTCGAAGAAGAGGTTGGAGTTTGTAAGTGCTGACCATACTGCCAGCATGAGCATCAATATTTAACCAGCAGTAACTCCACTCTGAAGATCAGTGTTAGAATTGGTCTTCAGCAGCTCATGCTTGTCATAAGAGGCGACTAATGGGATCGGTTGGTCAGACTCTCTGGCTTGGTCAACGATTGTCATTGTGTCCCAATTGCGTAGATCAAAGCTCATGATGTCGATCACTGGATTGTCTGGTCCAAACTCAATTGTTTACAGTCTGAAGTCACATATTCAGAGCTCCAGATAACATTCTGAGCAATTGAGTTTTTACTCTAGGGTTTCTATTTTAATTGGGTTATTACATTTTTCATTGGGTAACCAATATTTATTCTCTCAATGATTCATCACTATTGTGTTTTTCCTAAATTAGTGAACATTTTAAGATTTTAAAAAAATGTTTTAGATTTATACCATGTATACAACTAAACATATAGGCTTGGCTCGGAAAGTAAATTAGCTCGTAATTGTGTTTGGGAAATTAGCTCCTTTGTATGTGTGTTGTAAGCATACTGAAAAAGCTTCATTGGGTATTTGCCCGTGCTGTTTTTATAATTTAAGTTTTTGCATGTGTTTCTGTATGCAAGTTAATTGAAAGTAATTGGGTTTTGAATATTTTGGGGGGGGTATTTAACGCAAATACGCTGCTTATCTGTAGCTCTGCATGTTGTTCTGTGTGGCATTAAACAACAACACCACTCTGTTGCAGCTCATGGGACCAAATTCAATGCAGTTTTTGAGGAACATGATTGCCAAGCTGGAGGCTCAGCAGATCAACATTCTCCGCTTCATCGCATGTAACGAAATTTTCCTCATGCCAGCCATCATTCTCATGATCTTCAGGTGAGAAAGATTTTGACAGTAAAAATGCCATAGTGTTGTAATATTGATAAGACATGCCTTTGATCAAGCTGATGTAACTAGATATCTATTTATCATATAATGGGTAGATTGCTCGGCACGTTAAAACCAATGGTAATAATATGGAATTGGTTGGGTCATTTATGAATAAGTATGTAAAAAGGTAAGGTGGTTACTACTTCTAGTGTTAACAAACAAACATGGCATCTGCCTTGTCTGTCAGCTATCAAGTCAGAAATGAAATAAGGGATCCAAAATTCCTGGGATAATTGTTATCATTATCAAATACAAGAGTTTATGATACAGAAAATCAGTGTCTAAAATGGACGTAGCTGAATCCTTTTACAAGTATAGGTAACTTTGGAGATAATATAAAGCTGTTCACAGTGGACGGAAGGAGTCACAGTTTCCATGCCTGTTCTTATAGACCTCTTCGTCTGGGTGGTCATTTCCATAATATGACAAAGTTGGATTTGGCTGAAAAGTTTTACTTTTTTCATTTTGTGTCTGTGTGGGACATCTTACATGTAAGTTTGACGGTTAGGATAATATAATATGACCAGGAAGACTCTAAACAAACATGATGCCTCATAGACTGGAGTAGTTTCCCTTGGATAAAAGGTAGTAGTGGGCAGACTGATGGATTGCTGAGAAACACTGACCAAGTTATTTTGTGCTTTGAAAAATTATGTTTTGGTAATTGTGTTTTGGCTTGTATGGTAAAACTTGCCGATGTTTTATAACAAGTTTCAGTTGGAACCAAACACTATATTGTTGATGTCATTCGAATCTTATTGTGACGTAAGGTCGGAATGAAATTGTCAAAACTGAAGATTGTTGATGCCATTTCTTCGACAATGTTTGTAATCAGTACATGTTTCTAAAGGGGAATTCAAAAGAATTAAGAATAAATGGATAATAATGATATAATTCCACATACATTTAAGTCAGACTAATTTTACTAAATTTGTGTAAGAATTCATGTAATACCCTCATTCTCATCCGGGAAATATAAGAATTCTGAAACTCTATAATAATGGCTGTATATATCACTTCCCCTAAAAGACAATAGTATTGTAGACATGAATACATTTGGATGAATCTTTTGAAATTATTTTATTATCAACATTTTCAACGTCTGAGCCTGCAAATAACTGAGGAAATGCCTGGAAAACAATTCTTAATGCAGCATGTTATTCTCATTTCCATTCCAGTGGCAAATCTAGCCTCATCCTGCCATTTGTGTACTACCGCTTCCTGTCGCTCAGATACTCCTCCAGGAGAAACCCCTATTGCAGGTAGGTCATGTGCCAGTGCTTCCTGTCGCTGAGACACTCCTCCAGGAGAAACCCCTATTGCAGGTAGGTCATGTGCCAGTGCTTCCTGTCGTTCAGACACTCTTCCAGGAGAAACCCCTATTGCAGGTAGGTCATGTGCCAGTGCCTCCTGTCGCTGAGACACTCCTCCAGGAGAAACCCCTATTGCAGGTAGGTCATGTGCCAGTGCTTCCTGTCGCTCAGATACTCTTCTAGGAGAAACCCCTATTGCAGGTAGGTCATGTGCCAGTGCTTCCTGTCGCTGAGACACTCCTCCAGGAGAAACCCCTATTGCAGGTAGGTCATGTGCCAGTGCTTCCTGTCATGGAGATACTCTTCTAGGAGAAACCCCTATTGCAGGTAGGTCAAGTTCCAGTGCTTCCTGTCGCTGCGACACTCCTCCAGGAGAAACCCTATTGCAGGTAGGTCATGTGCCAGTGCTTCCTGTCGCTGAGACACTCTTCCAGGAGAAACCCCTATTGCTGGTAGGTCATGTGCCAGTGCTTCCTGTCGCTGAGACACTCCTCCAGGAGAAACCCCTATTGCAGGTAGGTCATGTGCCAGTGCTTCCTGTCGCTCAGATACTCTTCTAGGAGAAACCCCTATTGCAGGTAGGTCATGTGCCAGTGCTTCCTGTCACTGCGACACTCCTCCAGGAGAAACCCTATTGCAGGTAGGTCATGTGCCAGTGCTTCCTGTCATGGAGATACTCTTCTAGGAGAAACCCCTATTGCAGGTAGGTCATGTGCCAGTGCTTCCTGTCACTGCGACACTCCTCCAGGAGAAACCCTATTGCAGGTAGGTCATGTGCCAGTGCTTCCTGTCATGGAGATACTCTTGTAGGAGAAACCCCTATTGCAGGTAGGTCAAGTTCCAGTGCTTCCTGTTGCTGCGACACTCCTCCAGGAGAAACCCTATTGCTGGTAGGTCATGTGTCAGTGCTTCCTGTCATGGAGACACTCCTCCTTGTGACAGCCCTTATTCTGGTGTAACACTCTCTCCCTACCTACTCAGTTATTCACTGTTCAACTCACTGACTCACTTTTTATTACCACCTCAATTTAAGGCACTCACTTTAACTCACTCATTCACTTTAACAACCGCCTCCGTAGTCTAGTGGTAGAGTGTCTGCCCAGAGAACGAAAGGTCCGGGGTTCGATCTCTGGTCACATCATACCAAAAGACGTTAAAAGATGGTTCTTGTTGTTACCCTGCCTGGTACTCGGCATTTAGGGGCTAAACCAAAGACTGGTTGGCTCGGAGTCAGTATACTGTGTCTGATTGGGGTATTCATGTTAAACTGCGGGTTGGTATGTCAGTGAGCGAGCACTATGAAATCAGCATTAGTCCTGACTAGTATAAGCATGCATGCTGCTATATAAGTGCAATAATCTTGAACGCGATGTTAAACCCCATTTCACCTCATTTCTCCTTTCACTTTCATTTTACTGACTCACTTTAACTCGATCACTCACGCAAATTAACTCATTCCCATTAACTCACTCAGTCATTCTAAATAACTCTCTCAATATAGCGCTTGACCGCCTCCATGGTCTTGTGGTAGAGCGTCCGCCCGGAGAGCGGAAGTTTTGGGGTTTGATACCCTGTCTGGCGCTCGGCATTTAAGGGCCAAAACAAGGACTGGTCGGCTCGGAGTCAGTATACTGTGTCTGAGTGGGGAATTCATATTAAACTGCAGCATGGTATCTCAGTGAGCTAGCACTATAAATCGGCATCAGTCCGGATTAGTACAAGCAGCCACACACACACGTGCATGCAAGTCGCTATATAAGTGCAATAATCTTGAACGCAACGTTAAACCCCATTTCACCTCATTTCTCCTTTCACTTTCATTTTACTGACTCACTTTAACTCGATCACTCACGCAAATTAACTCATTCCCATTAACTCACTCAGTCATTCTAAATAACTCTCTCAATATAGCGCTTGACCGCCTCCATGGTCTTGTGGTAGAGCGTCCGCCCGGAGAGCGGAAGTTTTGGGGTTTGATACCCTGTCTGGCGCTCGGCATTTAAGGGCAAAAACAAGGACTGGTCGGCTCGGAATCAGTATACTGTGTCTGAGTGGGGAATTCATATTAAACTGCAGCATGGTATCTCAGTGAGCTAGCACTATAAATCGGCATCAGTCCGGATTAGTACAAGCAGCCACACACACACGTGCATGCAAGTCGCTATATAAGTGCAATAATCTTGGACGCGACATTAAATCCGATTACACCTCACCTCAATTTAGCGCACTTGCTTTTAACATTTTAACTCGCCTCTACTGACGTTTTCTCCCTGTTTGTCTCCCCAGGACCCTGTTCACAGAGCTGCGTATGATGGTGGAGTACGTGTCTAACAAGCCCCAGTGTCCCGGCTTCCTCCGCAACGTCTGCTACAAGGGCATCGCTTTAGTCGGCCGTCTCGCACCAGCTACGGCCCCCGCTCAGTGATCCGCGTGTGTGCTGTCGTCGTCATGGTAATCAAGGGTCAATACTTGTATCTATGTGCACTGTACAGATCTCAGTGAGATTGTGAACTGATTGGGCGTGTAATTTACAGTGTTGTGCAAGGTGCTTTATATTAGAAAGGAAATGATACAAAGCCTTAATTGGTCAATTACCTACTCTGTGTGAGATTACTGATAGAACTCCTGGCACAAACAGTTTCTACTGTAGCTAAGTGGAGCTTTAAACTAATATGTGGTCAAACATTTGCATTAGTGAGAGTCAAACATAATTATCTTGAACCTGGGGACTATGACATTCAGACATTCAAGCTACATCCGTGTCATGCTGTTTGTCACAAGGACAGAGATCGGTACTTTCTATGTAGATATTGACCCAACTTTGAAAGAACGGAACAATAGTATGTACTCAATCGGTAATTCATAATATTTACTTTAAGTAATCAGTTTGGCTAATTATGGAATATTTGTCATATCATTATGACAAGACAAATGGGACATGACTTGTTTGGACTGACTGGAGATCAACTTGTTCCTTGATAGATACATGACACATCGTGGACTAGTCATTGCTTGATATATTTTATATGAGATAACGAAGTTTACGGTATTGATGTTTGACTGCATATTGAAACACTGTAGAAACACACCACAAACTGCAATCTTTTCACTGATAATCTCCTTATTTTTTTTTAATGTTTAGCTGTTTCAAACTTTCACTTGTATACTGTTCATTCTGATACGAATGACCGCTACCAGTCCTGGGGTCGGTGGGGTAGCCTTGTGGATAAAGCGTTTGCCCGTCACGCCACAGACCCAGGTCTGATTGTCCACACGGGTACAGTGTGTGAAGCCTAATACCGATGTACACCGCTGAGAAATTGCTGAAATGTTACTGAAAGTGGCGTAATACCATACTCACTCACTCACACACTCCTACGACCAACATGAACAGATCTATATCTTCAGGATTATTTTGACAACATGAACAGGTCCTGGACTACATGCATTTATTGGTAGTGTTCTATGATGGCTACAGGAAGAATGTATCAGTGACAGATTGCACTTAGATTTTGTTGTTGTTTGTTGTTATCAGCAATGCTGTACAAAGTCATTTCTTTGCCTGTCCTCAAGAGGCGTAACGATACAAATGTCACAACACCAAGAAAAATGAAATTAAAGTTTTACACATTTCTTTTTCAAGTTTTAGCATCCGTTATGGAATATTTTCATGAAATATTTGGGCATTTTTGTATTGAAGACTATAATAACTGATAACAATATAAAACAGTTATGAAAATATAAATAAATACTGTAAAAGGGTAAAGACATCGTCTGTATTGAGCAGAGAGTAAACAGTGGTCTATGGCCCTGCAATTCACTGTGTTTGGAGAGTTGTGTCCCTTAGTCTTGTTCGATCTGCTGATGATGAGTTTCATGCCCTGCTTGTGATTCCTGGTTTGTTGTCACCCTGACAGGCTCATTAGTTTCACCGAAGGGGTAAATACATATGAAGTGGATCACTTCAGGTTCTCCCCCACAACATGCCTTGGTTTAATTAAGGAACTGTTCAAAGTGACTCAAACTTATCTCCCTAGTACCAAATTCGAAATTCAAAGACTTCACATTTGGTATTGTTTGTACAATTATCCAAACTTGTGGAGCCCTGTACCAAGGCTCTGTATCATGATGCAATATTGTATCAATAGCTTTGTACCATGATACGATACTGTATCGCTACACCTCTCGTGAGACTTTTTGTGCCACCACTAACCACATCAACATCTACTGTTACAGATACATGTAGCTGCTCATCCTTTCAAAATAAATTCTGCAGATGAAGTGTACAGACCCAATGTGCTTGGTTTTCGTGAAATGTAAAAATGTTTGTTCAAAGATATCCAATATTTAATATTTTTAAATATGTTAAATATTTAATTTGTTTTTACACATTGTTGCAAGATAATGTTTTCTTTTTTGCTTCACCCATTCATCTCAAGAGTATATTGATGGCATTTTGTCATTCATTCTCAGTAAACACATCAGGAGCAAATGTATTATTTTGTGAAAAAGAAATAATATCCATAGATGAAATGGATTTAAGAAGTTGTACCACGTGTAACTTTGCCTTAATACATTATTCATTAAATTGGAATTTTAATTTGTGTAAAGTGAAACTAATGATATTTAACTTTTTTCCTGTAAGTAGTTTTGATTCAAAATCAAGTAAGGCACTTTTAAGGGTTTTGTAAATGTATAATTTATTAATGAATAGAAAATTGAAATTACAAGTTAGTAATCTTATCTTATTGATAAACAATTTTTCAAACAAAGATACACCCTGTAAAGTTTGTCATGCATAATCACACTGTTTTGCCGAACAAGTTCCACTATAAATCGACTTTGGAGCAATCAGTGTACACATGAGATACACATTTGTTGAATGTATAGAAAGTTGAAGAGTTTGTTAAAACTTACTGTTGTGTGTGACTTTACAAGATTGACCAGAATTCATATTTACTCAGAGTGAATGTTTTTCATATTTGTATGAAAGCTCTCCGTGTAAAACTTGTAATGTGTGGCAGTGAAAAAGATCGGGGAATACATGTTAACTCCCTTTGTGTCTGTCTGTAGTCATGTAGTTTGTATGCAGATTTTCCATGTATCTTACCTTTTCTTTACCTTTTCCTTGGTGCCTGTGGACCATATATCTAGCATTTCTTGAAAATGTCACTTGCATTTTTAATCCTTGAAATAATCCTAATCCATAATAATCCATGGCCATCTTTTGAATTTTTGTTCCCTGAAAGGATTATCCTACATAATGAGATGTTCGTATGTAAAGATCTATATTTATTTTGTTAAATCCAGCCTTTTAAAGCATCGTGTGAATCCCATTCTTGACTCGTAGGGCGACTATTTGGCCCCAAATAGTCATGAAGCATCCATTGATACATTTGTCCATTTAATAGTATATCCACCTAGGCATCTCATTCTACATGTTCACTGTAAGGCCTTTTTTTTAGTTTTTGAAATATATTTTTTATTTGGTTTATGAGACTGACCAACCGAAAAAAACAAAGTAGAAAAATGTTTTTAATGCCTTTTGACAACAAAATAATCTGGCACTCTGTTTGACAATTAGGAGAAATTAAAAAAGACAAACAAGATTTAACACTGCTGTTTGTAAAAAATGGTGAATAATTCATTTAGAAATGTATTTTGTTGGGTAAAAAGAAACCCTTTTCTTTCTGTATCGATTCACCAGCATTCTTTCTTTATAGTGCGACATACAAGTTTGTTGAAGTTGAATTGTTTTTCCTGACCATCTACAAAAAACATCTTCCAGAGGCAAGAGAGTTAACTGAGTTTAAAAGGTCAGTTTCCCCCCTCACCAAACTTGTCTGGAGTTCCTGGGCTCAATCGTAGCGCCACCAGTGGCTATCATGAGTTATGTCCCTTCTAAGCCTTTCCTATGGACCGCTCAGATTCCACCTCTCATATCACTTGCATTGGTTTCAAACAAAATGGTGGCACCCAGTCAAGACAATCTGATGGATAATCAAGATCTACATCGCAAAATGCATTAGATTGCTTGAGCACCTTCATTAAAGCATGAAAAGAGTTAGAAAATATCTGTTGACAACAAGTTGGCGGTCACATGCTTTGCAAATCCTGCAATCGACCAAAATCTGCACGACAGTTTACGAACCTGATTTCAATTTCGTTGCGGGATTTTGATTGGGCAATGCATAGACTCGTTAATCCAGCCAAATTCTAACTCCATAATACCAACCCAGTTCAGCAAGGGTGGAAACTGGACTTTTATAGTCAGTTAACTCTCTTGCCTCGGGGAGATGGCAACAAAAGGCCTGAAGATGAATTATGTATGTGACCAGTGTGTGTATTGCCCTGTATCTATAAGCTGTGTTTTATCTGCTGTAAGAAGATCTCATGCTGCTAGTTGCTGTTGTTCTTGTTGGTATGGAGCTGTTAACATGCAGGTGTGGATACCAGGTAGATATATATGTCAGAATTTCAAGTTCCTTGTTAATTTTATATGCCTGTCTAATTACAAAGGGAGGACTTATTCAGAGGCTTCAAGAGTATGAAATCACGAAGCTTGATGCCACTGCAAGATAACATCAAAACAGACACATAGAAGTAACTCCCAAGCCATTCTATAAATGAAAAGTTGCATGTTGGTCATGTATATAAGTTTATTGTCTTTTTATGAAGGTATGTCAATGATTAAGCTCTTTACAGATAATCATTATTAAAACAAACCCGTTTCTTTGTAGTAAAGTAAGGTAGAATATATCTCCGTTGCTTTTTGCCTTCTGTAATTTCAGATCGCTCTTGTATTTTTCGGTCTATTTTCATGGTCAAAAGTTTACATATGTGTCTGTTACATTGCTGAATTAACTTCTATTAAAAATTAGCCCTAGATTTCAGATAGTGTATTTTGCTAAAGAAACTAATAATTATTTCTGAATATTATACAATTGTTCATTTATCAACCCTGAATGGCTGGTTGTTATTTGTTCCTGAGTGATGACAAAGGCAGATAACTTTGAAAAACCGATGAATAAAAACTAAATCTCAACGCTGTGCTGGTCTGAAATATTTTTTAATATAGATAATTACACCCAATCTTATAGTTTAGTCTGTATTGTCTGGATTAACATTTGTGTACAACTGGTTGGATATCATCAGTTTGTGATAATAGTTCAATAATATGGATATTGTGTCAACACAGGGCTCTACAATACTGATTGTGAGGATATGTTTATCAATAAAATGGATTCCAAACAAAGCGTTGAGTTGTGTGATTCTTGAACTCACCGGGGCCATCTGCAGGTCCTTCCATCTCTCAGAATCTTTTACATTTCCAACATCAATGAAGCTGAAGCTAAGTTTGCTGTCGTGTTTTTTAGCATGCCTATCAAACATGAATACAGATTAACATGTAGGTCTTAATATGAACACACCACATGCAGGCCGGAGGTGAATGGTATGAAACCTAATGGGGGACACATAAAACCACATGTACCCCGAGTGTTACAACGAATTTGTCTTACCCACATGTTTCAATCTGCCATTGTAACAATCATAACAAATTGAAAATTGATGGCAAAGAGCTGTTCAATTGAGGTGAGGTTAACTTGTAGTGTGCCATATGACCTTTATTGACTCGTAACTTGCTTCGTTGCAGGTTATTAGGGTTTTATATACACAAAGAAAAAGGTTAAGCACAGCCCTATTTCTGAACCATAACAAATGGCGAAAATCATGGGATGAGTGACCACAGGAGCAGGGCGATACCAATGTCATCAGATAGAACAAACATTTGACAACAAAGAAGATACTGGTGGGTTGTGATTGAAATTTACTGACAAAAACATCATGGTAACTCGGGTACTGTATTTGACCTTAGACAATACCTAAAAAGAGTATGGAACTGCAGGATTAAGTAAACCAGTTACGTTTGATGTTTCATGTTAAAATGTTCCTTAAAGTCTCTACTTGACATGACACGTAAAAAAGATCAGTAGCGGGTATAACCGCCACGTGCCGGATGACGCATTCCACCCTACGTCTCATGCCTCCAGTCAGACGTTGGATCTGTTGATGGGTCATTAACAACCTCGCCTGATGCAATGCTGCTTCCGATTGGCGGAAACCTTGTACAGGACGGTCTCGTGCCTGTATGCGCCGCCCCTGAATATCCCAAACATGTTCAAGGGGGTTCATATCTGGGCTCATTGCTGGCCAGGGTAGAGTCGTTATTGCATTGGCCCTAATGTAATCCACGACTTCATGCGAACGATGAGGCCTGGCATTGTCGTCCATGTACTGAGGTCGAGTAGTAAGAGTGTGGTTGTCAAAATGAGGAACGACGACTGGCCTCAAAACGTCCCGGATGTACTGAGCCCCTGTTAAGTTGCCCCTTATGGTGACTAAATCCAACCTGCAATCGTGAGAGATACACTCCAAAACCATTACCGAGCCCCCGCCGTATGCAACAGTCGGTTTAATGTTCCTGGGGCCGTGTTCCGGTGCCTCCAAACTCTCGTTCTTCCATCAGTGAGGTGGAGCAGAAAGCGACTTTCGTCTGACCAATGGATCCGTCTCCAAGTTCTCAGATTTCAGTTCTGTCGCGCAGTACACCATTCTAAACGAGCAGCTTTGTGGTGATCTCTCAACAAGGGACGCTTTATGACTCGTCTAGTCCTCAGTCCTGCTGCTTTCAGCCAGTTTCTGGCAGTGCTGAAACGACGATTGGGCAACAGCAGCTGTTTCAGGCGAGTACTTGTTAAAAAGAGTTCTCGGCGTATGAGACGAAGAAGGTCCCTGTCTTCGCAATGTGTCGTCACAGGTCTTCCGGATCTGGGACGGCCCTGTACATCACCGGTCTGAGCATGTTTCTCGACTAAACGGCTTACGACAGTGTGATGATAGCCCAAATTCCGCCCAAAGGCATTACAAGACATTCCTGCGTTATGCATGCCGATTATTTGTCATCTTGTGGCATTTGATAATCGCCTTCGTGCCATGATCACACAATGTCATGGAATAACTGTTTAAAACCGAGCTAAAGAAAGCAATTTTAACGTTTGGATATACTGCTTTTAGAGATACTCGAGGGTAGCATGCTGCACGGGCATACCATGCATGGCACGTGAGCTTTCGTCACGCATCACTGATTACATCATCTCGGGAAAACATAATTCTTCCCGTAATTATATCTTTCATGACTGTTACAATTATTGCGACCAAACAATTATGAAATATATTAGGGTGTGCTTAACGTTTTTCTTTCTGAATATATTCTCCCGCTCACAAATCCATCTGTAACCTCGTGGCGGGGTATCAGGGATATATTCACCTGCTCAGAAATCTACGTGCAACCTGTTTTCTTCATAGCGAGGTATAAGGGATTTATTCTTCCGCTAAACAAATGCAGCCTGTTTTTTTCGACATACAGTGTCCTGCACTGCTGCATCCGGAAGACTACTTCGGGCTCGGCATCTGGCGTACCAAAAAAGGGGTAGCACCCTCACTACATTTATTGTGAACATGTCCGTCTACATGGTTAGTTTTTAATGTATATCAATACTTAATTTCATAAACATGCAACGAAGATTATTAGGTGTATAATTATTGGTTACTTTTCAGCATAATATTGTTTACCCAATTAGAGCGTCGCTTACCATATCGGGAAAGTGGCAGTCGGAATGTGTTTTCTTATCATGCATCCTCGAAAAGGTTATCACGAGGTGTTCCGAACGACAGTTACGGGCTGTACGAATTCATCGTCTATTTCTCGCGTTAAAACATGTATACGATTTTGCATAGCCCGTGGAAAGTACTGCCATACATAACGGTGATCTAATAGACATTCAAAATGTTCTTTTATTCAGTTTTCACATTCTAAATCGAGAACTTCGTCAGAACTAGAACCAGAGCGTAGTCTGAGCGTACTCTGGAATGAAAGTCTCCAGTTTGAAACTGGTGCGTAAAGCTCGAGAAAGCTGCTTTTTAATTGCCTAAGAGGCGGTCGGGTAGCATATAGTGGTTAAAGCGATGGCTCGTTACGCCGAAGACCTGGATTCGATTCCCACATGGGTACAATGTGTGAAGCCCATTTTCCGGTGTTCCCCGCCTTATAAATTGCTGGAATATTGCTAAAAGCGGCGCAAAACCACACTCACTTACTCACTCACTTACTGTAATTTCCTTATGTCGACTTCTTGTTAGTCATTTTATCATCAGATCTTTGTTCAGCGGAAGCTAGCACTAAGATCTGATTTTAATAAGATGGAGCCCTATGGAGAGCTATAGTGATGCGGTCGCTTTGTATAAATATATTGTGTCATGCTCCTCACTGTTGTAGTAAGGTATCTATATATTATGCACATTAGTTTGTTAAGCGATCTGAAAGGCTTGCATTAGGCCAGCCTGCTCTTATTTTTTAACAAACGCGTTTGTTTACAAACAAGAGAAAAAAATTGTCACGTGATATGCAAATTTGCTTAGGTCATCGCTGCGCCGGGGCGTGTCTGGGTGTGAAGCGGTCAGAAGTGGGATAAACATCGCAGAGAAATTCTACGTATCGCATGCAACCATTTGTTTAATCGAAAAACAGATAATGAGAGCACAATGACTTGCATTCCTTGTGTTGTTTATTTTAACTCCGTTTTACAATGTGCGCCAATGGGAGTGTTACTGAGTCGACGTCCGCCTGAATAGCTCAGGGTATAAAAGAAGTATCGGTAGGCTGTTGAGCCCGTGTGCGAAATACGCTCCAGTCGGAAAGCGCACGTAAAATCCCCTAATATAAGTAAGTAACTGTTGAGCCCACTACTGGCTCGCAACACAGGAGTGACCAGCCAGGGGGAGACGGTCGCGTTCGACAAACAGTGAGTCCTACATTTTAAGTTACTTATGCATTTTGAAGATAAAAACTATTTGATGTGTGTGTAATTCATTTTTGCTTTGATATCAACAGGTAACACTTATTCTTATAACGAGGACAATTTCAGGTCAAGTAAATGAATGATGACACGAGTGTTGGATAGGGGTATATCGTTGGGAGAAAACATTTGTATTTTCGTGACTAAAACTGCAAGGCGGTTGTATCTGTGGAAGTTGATGTAACATATTTGTTTCCAGAACAGACATCAGTGTCCCGTGTTTGTAGTGAGATCCAACAGATGGTGTCAGGTGGCCGAGAGATATACGAGAGTCGGTATATGGTCGATATAGGTCTTTTGGTGGGCACAGTAGCTTGTGCGTAGAAACAATACTAGGGCTTAGTGTGTGTCTTTTCACTTCCTTGTTTACTCTGCATAAGAATAAAACTGAATATTTAGAGTTTAATAAGCTCAATTCAAATTCGGTTCCAAATAAAATTTCTAAAATGTAACACGAAAATCCGACGAAGCATTTCTTTTCTCTTAGTTGAAACTTAAAAGTCAGACGACATCTGGGTAGACTGCTGTATTAAGGTCCACAAAGGAGAAGGAAGTTATTCAATGGGGGTGGGTGGTGGTGGCAGGGACAGCAATAAATTCCCTTATCTCAACCTCACGTGATCTTGATAACAAAACCCCTCGTATCTCGCCTAGGAGAGAAATATACATGTTTGAGCAGGAGCATAAAACCCTTATACACCGCCATGAAGCAATCAGGCTTTGCATGGCTTTCTTGGCGGGACAATAAATCTCTTGCACCCCATTACGATGCAAAATGGTGTACGTTGTTTACGAGATGAAAGTCACGCGAAACAGCACCAGTTAACCTCAGCTCAATCAAAAGGCTGTTTTCTATAAATTTTCAGTTTGCTTTAAATGTTTTAACATGTCGGCAAGTTAAACTCGTTGTAGCAGTATGATGATATCACTCGGCGTATATGTATGTGGTCTTATGCGTCCGGCTCGTGGTGTAGAACCTAGCGCGGGTAAAACCACACATACCCCTATTGATACTGCCACAACTTGTCATGCTTATTACGACATCGGGGTAGCTTCCTTTGTCCGTTGTAGATTCTTTATCGATAGATAAACTTTATTTTCCTCCTGCTGTCCTGGGCTAAATGGGAGTTAACCTGGCTCCCTAAACAAACAGGTGGTACAATAGCCAACCCATTCCCATACTCGTGTTAATCAGTGTTTGTTTTGGTTTGTTTTGTTGTTTTACGCCACACTCAGCAATATTCCAGCTATATGACGGCGGTCTGTAAATAATCGAGTCTTGACCAGACAATCCAGTGATTTACATCATGAGCATCAATCCACGCAATTAGGATCGATG